TTTTTTTTTTTTTTTTTTTTTTTTTTTTTTTTTTTTTTTTTTTTTTTTTTTTTTTTTTTTTTTTTTTGGATTTCCTCTTTTTTACTTTCTGACCACTCTCATCCCTGTTTATATAGCATGATTTAAATATCAAACATCGTGATTTGTATTTCCGCGAATTAAAAAATTGCTTATCGCGATGTATTTTAAAAGTCATTGTAATTCGTATTTAGTGATTTAAAAATTTCTCAGCGTGGTCTATTATGTAAGCAATTTGTTATCCTATGTAAACGTGAAATGTTTAAAACTCTAAAATTTTTGTTACGACTAATTTTTCACAATACTGGTTTTGGTTTAAAAAATTTTCAAGTTAGTATTTTTTTTCTATATAAGATTTAAAATTTAATTTTTGATTTCATTTGACATAAGCATTTCTTCACCAAATATATATATTTAGCAGTTCCTTATGATCTAGATGTAATGGTTAAAAGGAAAGCACACAAAATAAAGAATAGATAGTTAGTTTTTGTGCTTAATTATAAGAAATTGTTCTTGTATCTAATACCATATAACTTAATCAGCATATAAATAATATATTTTTTTTATTCTTTATTATCTTAAGCATTTCTATTAAAGTTTTTTTCCTTTACCCCATACCAATAATACAGCTAAACTTTATTTATTATTTTTCAATAATGACTGAACTTATTTCCATTAAAAAAAAATATTTATTAATGATTTAAAAAAAAAAATAATAATAGTTGATTCTTCGGCCACGGAATGATCGGTATTCGATTATTTATATATTTTTTTACCGAATATTCGCTTAAATCACTATTTGTGACATCCCTAATCCCGAGACGATTGGAAAAATATAACAATTTCCTTCATAATAAGTGTAGTTCAAGCCATGGTGGCTCACGGACTTAGTGTTCTCATCCCAATGGGAACCAGGTTCGAATCCCAGCCATGGCTGGTGTATACAAACTCTTCATCCGGCTCGCAACAACCACATAGCTGATGTAAAACAATCTTCAGTGGTAAATGGATCATAGGTTAGCATAGCAGCCAACTCTTCAGGATTTTCCATTAGTCTACTGGTTTTTTCCAGTTTCTCCTGGCCTACTGGTTTAATAAAAATTATCTTGGTTTTTGTACATAATGTACAAAATTCACTGAAACTGAGTAAGTTTCCTGAAAAAATACCTATTAATATAAAATTTTTGCACAGATTATTGCTTGCTTGAATATTTTAATAAGTATTACTATTATACATAATGAAGCGATCCACATTTATAGAAATCAGTTAAAAACGTTTTTTTTTTGTTCTAAAATGTTCTGTTTGTTTTTATTCAGAACTTCGTTTTTAAATTAATTAAAAAATCTTAACTACCTTTGATGAATTAATTGCCTATTACTAAATTATGAGTAAGCATTATACATAATACATAACATTTCAAATTTAATGTCAATCATAACTGGAAAATATTGCAGTTTTTCTATTTTGATGACTGTAAAAATCCTCAAAATTACGTATGTGTAAAATATTTAGTACATTATTCAACAATTATGAAAATCATATTTCGTAAAATCTACTGGATTTTTACCTATATACGTTGTCAGCTATGTATCAAAGTCCCCTTGCCGTTAACTTAACCGTGGGAGGTTTTTGTGGTTTTCCTCTCCAAATAACGCAAATGCGGGTAAGTTCCATCAAAAAATCCTTTTTACAAAAACTAAATCTTAAACTTGTGACAGTTCAAATATTACAATAACACCTAAGGGTTTGAGATTAGTTTAATGCTGCGTACAAGGGGGCAGAGGGCAATGAGCAATTCTAAAAACCCCTAATTTTCTTGAGGAAACGCTTCAAGTATGTGTAATAAATCTTTTATTTTCTGATATGAGAGCTAAGTTTAGTATTTTTTTTTTAAATTGAAAAAATACTTCGGCAGAAATTGAAGTTTAGAAGAAATAATTATTAAAAATATGTCGTAGTAAATTAGAAAGCTAAAAAAAATTTACTCTTTTTGTTTTTAATCTAGAATATTTCCAAAAGCAAGGGCGGTGAGTAAAATATATTTCTTGCGACCAATATTTTAAGACTGATACAAATATTTTACTCAGCCAAGATAGATGCTAATAAAAAAAAATTACAATCAATATATATCTTTCTAGAAAATATGCTGGGCGCTAAGGACTAACCATAACAATCTTTTTGCAGTATGAACAATTTAAAGTTAAGAGATTTTAGTGTCTAACGGATGCATTGTATTTACTCCTCTACCCTTTTGTAACTTGTAAGTAACAATAAGCAAATTATAAATTCCTTCCCCCCTCCCCTAGTTGCTTTCGTAATATTTGAACTGTCATAAAATAAATAATTAGTTAGCATGTGTAAACAATGCAAGGTTTTTGTCATCGTTAGTGGTTCTATTTCATCCAAACCACAAGAAACTATACAATACGAATGGTGCTTACGAGGAATTATCACTGCGACCAGTTGTGCCA